GTAGTTGTCAGTACTCCATCAACGTAAAACCTTCCATGCTTACTGTCCACACGCCAGGCTGTCACTTACAGGAGGTTTTAGCCTGGTTTCTCCATGTTTTATTCCACTTAGAGGGCTTAGTGATTTTATTTCATGCAAATCTCAAAATTTGAATTTTTGTGTGTAATATTGTCTTATTTCGTCACCATTAATATGAACTGATAATCTCAGATTAGCCAAAGGGGTTCCTCTTCATCTCGGCATGAAAAATGGTCCAGATAGACAAAGTACTTATAGAGTTATTACACTTTTTGTCATGCGGAGGCCAAAAAAACTCAGAGTGCCTGAAACAAACCGTCAGCTAACGTTATATGAAAATGCATTAGCCGCTAGCCTATTATATCATTAATTAGCTCATATATTAGCCGCTAGCATTTTATGGTGTTTTTAGCTGTAACTACAGTAACCAGACATTCTGGATTGTCTGATTATCCTGATTTCAAAATATCTGCAAAAGACTCAAATTACTTCAACAGAATTAAGATATTCTGGATTTGCTGCCAAAACATCTTTCACCCTGTTTTGTTTCAGGTTATATTACGTTTTGTTCCTTGAAATTCTTTTCTTGGCTGCCGTTTTCATTTCATCAAGTTTTTCCCTGAACCCGACTTTTAAGACATTGAAAGTAAAATGTGATAAAAACGTCTTCAGCGACAGACGAAACCTTCAACATCAGAGCAAAGGACGACGAGCAGATCGTCATCAGGAGAGATTTCAACCAACAGCCGACGTAACGAGGTGTCAAATAAATCTGTCAGCTCGCACGGCGGCCTCCGCCTGCTCCCCGCTGACTGAGTGTGTGCGTGTGTGCGTGTGCTCTGTGTTGTCGTCGTGTTTGCCGACTGTACGGCGAAACAAGGCTTAGTGTGTTGAAGTGTGTATTTTTAGCTTAACAAGGCTCAGTGTGTATCCTGTGACCAATATGGTGGAGTACACATACACACATACAATACACATGTGCACACAAACACAAAACCTTTCCCACATAGTTTTATGGGTTTTCTGAAATGTGAGCTGTGAATGAAAAAAATCACTTAATTCACCATTAAGAGATAAAATTGTAAATGAGTTAAATTCTCATTTAATATATTATAGTATAATATTGACATTTGAATGAAAAATCACATTTCACATTCTGAATACAACAGCTCAGATTTGTGTTTATTTGTGTTTTTCTTATTTTATTACAATCAACTAAATAAATGCATCACATAGAACAATATATCATCTCCCCTAAAACAACTTTCACTCAGAAAATGGTACACTTGAATTTAACAATTATAGTTTTGACTTACTGTATTTAAAATGTATGATTTAAGATTTGTATATTAGCATGTTGTGGTAATATTGTATGTATTTCTTTGGCCAATTGTTCGTTAAAATAAAATATCTAATATATCTAATATCTAAAGAAAGACAAGTTTGATCTCTCCTCTAAAAATGACATTTATAATAATAAATAAGGTTTCATATATATGTCAAATAATTCAATAATTCAAGATAACAATAAAGTAAAAGTGAGATCTCTGATAACAAAGATCTCTCTGATCTCTTTGATGGCCGTTTGTTAAAGGATGCTTTACTCGTGTCCTCGTCTCCTTGTACCCTTGTATCCTTGTGTCCTCCTGTCCGGCAGAGGACGGAGAAGAAAATAAAAGATGGCCGCCTGTGACTTCCTGTTGTCTGGTGATTGTGATTAGAAACAAACATGAATCCATCCAACTCATGGACCTTTACAGGTGTGATTATATCTGCACATCAACACAACGTATTGATCTACACAGACAAAACGCACACATTAAAAACTGTACAATCAACTATTTAGAAAAAATGCAGTAAAATAAAAACAGAACACATTTAATATTTTGTATCTGATGAGCAACAATTCATAACTTTTATATTAATATAATATAATTTGTAGAAACTTTAGCGGCTGCAGTTATATTCCCAGGTTAGTTTTATTTTTTATAATACTGACATTTATTTAAAATTTTTATTTCATGTGAGCTAATTGAATGAGAACAGCAGTGGCTTCAGGCGGGTTTCTCAATAAATCATTAGATAAATAGACAATAGATGGATAGATAAATAAATAAATGGGAGTATGAATTTCAAAACAATACAGTGAAAATTCAGTGAAATACTCACTGATGAATGTGTAGGCTAAATAAACAAATCAAATGCAAAATCCCTATTTTTTCCAAATTATATGTGTTAGTATTATAATTCTGTTTAAAATTTCTTAGAATGTTCCAGATACAAGTTAAATTTTAGAGCAGGGACAAAATATTAATTTAGGTTTGAATATTACTGCGAAAATATAAATCAATGAATAATTATTCAGGAAAACACTTTTTACATTTTATCATTTCTAATAAATCAATAATTACGACGTAATTCAAAGCAGATGTTCGTCAACAGCAGCATGGATTTATACATGTAGTTGTGTTTATATACATGTATCTATATTTTTATACATGTATCTGTGTTGATGTACATGTATCTATATTTATTTGCATGTATCTATATTTATAAACATGTATCTATATGTATACATACACATTTATCTGTGTTTTTGTAATGTATCTATATTTATTTACATGTGTCTGTGTTTAAAAACATGTATCTATATTTATAAACATACACGTGTATTCATATGTAGCTCTGTGTATGTAAATGCTGATAATACATATAATCACAGATAATGTATTTATATACAGATACTTGTATATAAATACATTATCTGTATTTGTGTCTACATATCAGTGGTCAGAAGCTGCTCCTGATGGGATGTTTATTGGCGACAGTCTGAACTTCATTCACAAGCAATCCAGCAATTTCTCTGCCAGCCTTTGTCTGCCGTCTTTTCCCTTCCCTGCCTCTCTGTGGGCGAGGAGGGGGAGGCCGATGGAGATGGAGGAGGGCGATGAGATGGAGGAGGGCGATGAGATGGAGGAGGGTGATGGGTGGTGGTTTGTTGCCCCTCAATATGTTGTGATGGAAGACTTGGTTCTCCAGAAGGAGCGTCCGCCTGGACAGACAGGAACCAGCATTGATCTGTTTGGCATCAGGCGTCTCCACACAGTGCTGATCAGGCTGCAGCGACAACACACACACACAGACACACACACGCACACACACGCACACGCACACACACACGCACGCACACACGCACACGCGCACACACACGCACGCACACACGCACACGCACACACGCACACGCACACACGCACACACACACGCACACAGACACACACACACACACGCACGCACACACACAAGCACACAGACACACACACACGCACACACACACACGCACACACGCACACACGCACACACACACACACGCACACAGACACACACACACACACAGACACACACACGCACACACACACACACACACACACACAGACACACACACGCACACAGTTGCCTCTCTTCTGCTGGCGATGCCCACATTTAATGTTTTTTCTGAGAGAGCATTTAAGTGCGAGTCCTGATGTGTGAAAGCCTGTTGGGAGGAGGGGAAGCAGAGATGATCCCAGATCCTGATCCTCTATGTGGACCAGTCTGTTAATCCTGCTCGTCTATGGACCTCCATCAGTAATCGAGATCATCAGAGAGAAGATGGTCTGTTTCCACAGAGTTCTTTTAACCAGAACCGCCAGACCCTCCAGCAGAGACCAGTCCACCCTGGACAGACCCAGACCCTCCAGCAGAGACCAGTCCACCCTGGACAGACCCAGATCCTCCTGCAGAGACCAGTCCACCCTGGACAGACCCAGATCCTCCTGCAGAGACCAGTCCACCCTGGACAGACCCAGATCCTCCAGCAGAGACCAGTCCACCATGGACAGACCCAGATCCTCCAGCAGAGACCAGTCCACCATGGACAGACCCAGATCCTCCAGCAGAGACCAGTCCACCAAGGACAGACCCAGATCCTCCTGCAGAGACCAGTCCACCCTGGACAGACCCAGATCCTCCAGCAGAGACTAGTCCGTGGACAGGCCCTGGAGCCTTGAATGCACATTCAAGGCTGCCCCCCCAGAGCCAGGCCCAGGGGGGGCAGACTGTGAGACCCTGTTGCAGTAGAATGAGAGATTTTCTAAATGAACCCTGCAGACACTTTACTCCACATCAATGGTCAATAAAGAACCGTTAAGTAAAAGTAGTAACACCAAAGTAATAAAGTAGCTCTGTGTATTGCTAATAGGGAAGACTTGAAGCGGAGGACTTCCATGACGTACACTGGATGGAGTAAACCATCACCTCAACACTAGACCACCAAGCACCAGGATCCCGCTTACAGTCTCTCTGAGGTAAACTGTTGTTTTAGTCTAAGATACTATAAACATATTTTATTGAGTTCACTGCTATTAAATCCTCAGAGTTCAAACGTAAAACAGTGAAACAGCGTATATGTATAGGGCTTTTATTGTGAAAGAGGAAGGAGTTGATTTGTACTTAGCTCCTTAAACAACCACTGGACCTTCATTTACGAAAGGAAATGAGATAATTCCGTCCCACAATCCCCTGCGGCTGCAATATTTAAATTTCGCCGTGACAGACTGACTTCACCAACGTGAGTCTCCCGTTCATTTTTCCTAGATCCTCATCAATTCTCCCAACGTTTCCTTGAGCCTGAGACGTTTTCCACAGGGGTCAAGGAACAGATGTTAGGGGGTCATTTTTTGATCAGCGATAACGACTGTAGGCATCTTGCCTTTTTTACAACCAGTGAACAGGAAGTGACCATATATGGACTGAGGAGGACACAGAGACGCTATATACGTCTCCATTAGAGACGCTGTATGTGCCTCTATTAGAGACCTGTCAATCAGCATGTAGCCCCGCCCTAAAGCGTCCTCTGCTTCATGGTCTGTTTGACTCTAAATGGACAATAATTCACTAAATGAACATCATGTTGTGTTGAAGAAGACTTGAAACTAGAGACTGAGACATAAACTCATGTTTATAATGTTTACTGAGGGAATAAATCAGTCATTTTCTCATAGACGTCTATGGGAGCAGAGTCACGCTCTGGAGGTCAACACAGAGACTCAGAATCTTCAGCCGGAGGAAACAGAAGCTTTTTGATATTCTCATCTGTGGTGATGTCAGAGTGAAGTGGGCTCCCTTTTGTAAAGATAAAAACGTACATTGTGTTGCACTGACTCTCAAAGACTCTCTGGTGTGTTTCTGACAGTTCAGAACCTGCAGAGATGATGGTTGTAATTTCTCAGTTTAATGAGTCCTGATTGCTGGAAAACGTCTGGAGCCTTCAGTCTGACAAGGTTTTTCCTCAGTAAATCAACCAGAATGCCATAAAGGACCAAAAGTATCAGTGTTTTTCTCCTTGTGTTGTTCTGTGTTGGGAAATTGTTTTCAACCCAGTTTAAAGTGATTCATGTTCAAACACGGAAATGTCAAAGGGAGAAAACTCTAAAAGTACACCGACGCAGCAGAGACACAGTGCCATTAGAGGTCATATGAAGATCTCTAGAGGTCATCGACACACTAAATCATGATATTAAAAATGTTGGTGACATTACAAATCACACAGTGGGTGAGATTTGTGATGATTACTGTGACGTGTTTGGGATCCAACAGAATCAATAAATGATATCAACACTATAGTGTAGCATGTTTTTATAGTTCACCTGGTCTGATGTAGTGTGATTGGGTATGACGTGGTCAGGTCTCTTAAGTTTCGGTACGACTTGGTCTGGTATGGCCAGGTCTCCTCTGGTCTGTTTTGGTTTGGTTTAGTAGGACCTGGTCTGGTCTGGTTCAGGACTCCAGCCCCTTAGAGGTCTGTTTAACCACAAACGCTGTATCTCACTTCCTTCAACCGCCCACCTGACTCCCGCTGCAGGACACAATGGATTTACCAACCATGAAGCTATCAAGATCTTTTGTTTTCAAAATATTTCTGTGGGCCCTTTTTTCCCTAATTGCCTGTCAAAATCGACTTGGCTGCCGTCGGTATGTAGAAAGGAGAGCCGCGCACGCCGTTCATTAATTCATACCGCCTCTATTCAGACTGGATTTGGATTTCACAACCCTGCAGATAAAACACGCCAACATGTTCACATGAGCGCCGAATGATTTAAATGAAAAAAAGGAAGAAATCACACTCGACTCGACGGTTGATCTTATGGTTCCACTCCGAAGCAGCTCCCTGTTCATCCTGCAGCCGGTTTCTGGGTCATTCCTTTCGCCTCCCACAGGTGACTCACGACATCCAGTGTCACAATAATTGCGACAACGATGTCAACCCGCTTATTTATGAAAATAGCAGGGAGGTTTGTGGTCACCTCTCCTCCTCAAGACAAACCTCTCTGGACCTGCACTTAACACAGAAGACGGCACCATTTGGATCTTTCTTTGTCCATTGAATAAAACCGTGAGATGCCAGAGATCTGATCTGAAACAAAGCAATACTGAAGGATGGATTCATCGTCAGTAATATATGTAAATAACGAGCTGAAGTCCTTAAAATGTCCCAAAATGTTGCCCTAAATATGTGTATTAAAGAAGCAGTCAGTCACGGGTACGTTTCTGTATTAAATGTCTTATCTTGCTTGATGATACGTGTGCGTTTATTGTCCCGTATTTTCTGAGTTGTCTTCAATGCAGCATCCCATGCAAATGATCCTCCCCGAATTCTGTGAAGACTCGTCCTGTAGATGCGAAGGTACCGATGAGACTGGGAGGCATCCATCTAGATACTTTACGCCACCTCGCCTCCCGTATCGACCCCCCCAGCAGCACACTGCTCCTGCTGTGTGGGCTCAGGGTTAAGTTGTCTCAGGACCTGTACCTGTGCAATGGCCAAACGCTGAATCATCTTCTTCTAAAGGATGTTAGGTAGCAAAAGCTACCAGGTAGCTAAGCAGTTAAAGCTATAACTAAAGTAGCTAAAAGGTACCAAACGCATCGGCCAGCTAAAGACTTGAAGCTAAATTATATTAGATTGCCAATCTTCAAATAGGGCTTCAAGAAGCTAAAGCTCCGGTACAGACCACGCTAAATGAGCTAATAGACATGATAGTAGCTGAAGACATCAGGGAGATTTAGCTAAGGTAGGTTGTCATGTAGCTCAAGAGGCAAAAAGACACAAGAGCTAAAAAGCTAAATTAATATAAGGAAGATAAAGCTATGGTGGCTAAATTATTGATGCTAGTTTGGCTATAGTCCAAAAGATTACAAGGTTATTTATTGTCATTACTTTGCAACAAACGCAGTTTAGTAAGATACGCAAAAGGCTAAAGGACATTGAGCATCTAGCTTCAGAAAGCTACATTTCGTATGGTAGCCAAAGCTAAAGAGGCAAATGTCAAGCTAAACCACGTTTAAGAAAATTAATGCAATTTTCCAGCTTTCTGCTCCAGCTCACTGGAGCAGATCAGTGTCTCTCTGCCCGGAGAGGCTCTCTTCATCCTGCCCACTGGGACCAGTGCCAGCGCTGGAGGACATGCTGGTTTCAGCAGCTGGAAGAAGTCCCGTCATGTATGTCAACCAGCGGAAAAACAGGGCGACTGGATGACGGGGTGACTGACTGACTGGATGACGGGGTGACTGACTGGATGAAGGGGTCACTGACTGGATGAAGGGGTGACTGACTGGATGACAGGGTGACTGACTGGATGACGGGGTGACTGACTGGATGACGGGGTGAATATGGCCTCTCCTTTGTTTGTTGAGAAGCAGCATGGACTAAATAACTGACGGAGCAGCGTTGAACCAGCAACCACAGTGTTTTGTTTTTGTAAATGGAGTCTGGTGTGTTAGAAGATAACTCGGACATCAGCAGGAAGATCTCTGCCTGACAGGAACGTAGATAGAACCCTGAGACCACTGCAGTAATCAGACAGACCTCAGGCCGTACCAGAGAGCAGTCACACTACCTGAAGGATTCTCAGGTTACCAGCAGGGAGGAGGCAGCGACGTGCCTCAACAGAGATATCAATTGTTCAGCACTTCGGCAAACGTGTCATGTTGAGTACACACACACACACACGCACACACACACACACACACACACACACACACACACACACACACACACACACACACACACACACCTGCAGCCCGGGTTTCAGAGCCGTGCAGATCTGTGATTGGAAATGAGGTGGCTAATTAGCCAAACCTGCTCTACCGCTCCCTCGCTGCTCAGATCTACTCCCCCCCTCTGTGCGGTGGACTGGATTACTTTGAGTGTCGGAGGAGAAACCAGGCGTCACGTCGGGGATTCATTCCAGAACAAACGCCCACCTCTAAGCCGCCGAGGGAGGAAAAGAAGACGAAGAAAAGGTGTGGCCTTTATTATTTGTGTTACCTAAACACACAGGCAGGTTTTGCTCCTTTGGCATCCATAGTTTAGTGTTGTTATGTAATGATAGACAGTGTGGTTCTTCAGTAAACATCTCGCCTATCTTTTATTTTTTAATATCACTGGGAACTTTATGGTCTTATAGACAAGTTTAATTCCTCATTTCTATGTATTTATACATTGAAATCTCTCTGTAACTTTGAGTCTAACAGGAACAAACAGTATATGCAGAAAGTGTATTTTGTATTGATGTATAATTACTCTCAGTGGGTCACACGGATCGTACTTCCTGTCCTTTGAGCTCACAGTGTGACCTCTGGGCAATGAACAGAGGTCACATCCATCCGCTTCAGATAATAACAGCTAAGTTGAAGACTTATTTAATTTATTTCAGGTTGGATGAGGTTCTGCAGTCTCTTGTCTTAGAGACGCTCTCTGGGTCCATCACAGGCTCCTGATGATCCTGATTTCCACTGAAGATGTCTGGAGGACATTTGGGGGATTTCCAGTACAACTCAGGTGATATTATGTGTTTTCTTCCATCTATCAACCATATTGCTTTGTGATATGAAACAATAATAACAGAAGGAACAATATCAACAGCTTTTAATACCACGATATAAATGTATTTAATGGGCTCAATCAGTGGGTTATATGATATTATTGATATCATTATTATTATTATTACGGGGTCGATGGTGTAAAGAGGGAGCGCTGGGAAGGTTGGTGGTTCGAGCACCGGCTGCTCCATGTCCCATGTTGAAGTGTCCCTGAGCAAGACACCAAACCCCCAATTGCTTCCTGGGCAAAAATGTAAGAAGTCATACGGGTTAAAGTGTAATGTAAGGGCTTTGGATAAAGGCCTCAGCTAAATGACCCGCAATGTAATAAATATTATCCGGTAGCGTAACTATCAGATCCCATCCTGGTCCTCTGAGGACGAACCCCGGCGACTCCTCCGCTGGCAGCAGGTCGGCTTTATGTTTTTAAGTGTTGTGATGAAATGATGCTCATCCTTCATGCTCCCCACAGGATGAGCCGTGGGATTTCATTTGACCTTCTGATAATGATTAGAACACGTTAAGATGAAGTGGATCGTGACCTCCTGGCACATGAGGAGCTCATCTTTAATCTCAGGTGGTTGTAATCGTTTGTGTCATCACACACACTTCTAATCTCTTTTCTGTCGTTTTGTTTTGGGGCCATATTGTTTCATAACTGTTCTCTTCTTCTTTTTCTCCTTAATCTCCTTCCTCCACCTCCTCCACCTCCTCCTCCACCTCCCTTCCTGCCTGTCTGTCAGCCGATGGAGAGGCGACAGCAAGTCTCCACGCCGTAAACCGATCCGCATCGCAGGGAGAGGGAGAGGATTCCTGATATGGATCTACCTCAGAAACCAGCCAAACAAAGCCTCACCTGTTTGCAGCGCCCTGCCTTGTTCCTCCTCCACCACCTCCTCCACCTGCTCCTCCACCTCCTCCTCCACTAGACTTCTAAATCCACTTTGTCAGTTGGGTGCCTTCTCTCTTCTGGTTGTTTTGATACACAGAAATACTGGTTAGGTAGCTGTCGCTCCTTCCCTTCCAAATACCTCCACCCTCCCTCCTCCTCCTCCTCCGGAACTGAAATCTCCCCTCTTACCCTCCCCCCTTTCTCCATTTTGGGTGTCCCAAATCAGGCCCCCCGGGGCAGATCCCAGACATAAAGTTAGCATTGAGGGA